CTTTAATCTAGATTTAAACTGACAGTGTTTGCCTCCCGAACAATGTTAGGTAGGTTATTCCAGAGTTTGGGCACTAAATAGAAAAAGGATCTGCCGCCCGCAGTTGATTTTGTTATTCTAGGTATTATCAAATGGCCAGAGTTTTGAGAACGCAGCGGACTATAATGTAACAAAAGCTCACTCAAGTACTGAGGAGCTAAACCATTCAGGGCTTTATAAGTAATAAGCAAGATTTTAAAATCTATACGATGTTTAATAGGTAGCCAGTGCAGTGTTGACGTACATGGTGCGATTCTGAAGGTCAGAACGCCATGAGCTCTGGCACATGTCACGATTGAGTTTATCCGAAAATCGTACGGAGGCGGTCACACTGACTCACACACGACACGAATTTACTACGATTTTACAAACTCTGTCATAAGCATTACATTTTGCGCCACTCATAAAAATGACTCATAAAAAAATGTCCGCCACGCCTGAGTCCCCGGCCAAGATGGCTGCCACGCCTGAGTCGGACGCGGAGCTTAGGATTTTGAGCATGTGGGCTGCACACTGCGCTCCTGAGTCCTCTCCTATTCACGAGTCTGCTCTAAGGGCCTTTCCTGTCCGTGAATCTGCCCCAGTAGCCTCTCCTATCCACAAGTCTGCTCCAAGGGCCTTTCCTGTGCATGAATCTGCTGCAGAACCTCCAGAGGTGGCGGCATCCGCTGCAGAACCTCCTGAGGTGGTGGCATCCACTTCCGAACTCACTGTCTGCCCTGTCACGGCCACGGAGGCCTTTCACGAACTCACAGATTGTCTTGTCACGGCCACGGAGGCCGTTCTTGAACTCACTGTCTGTCCTGTGACGGCCATGGAGGCCGTTCTTGAACTCACTGTCTGTCTCTCTGCTTGCTCCGTCACAGTCAAGTGGTCTGTCCATGTCTCTGCTCCGCCATGGCTCCCCGCTCTGCCTACTCCGCCATAGCCCCCCGCTCTACCTGCTCTGCCATGGCCCCCCGCTCCGCCATGGCTCGTCGCTCTGCCTGCTCCGCCATGGCCCCCCGCTCTGCTTGCTCCGCCATGGTGTCTTGTTTCCCATTTGTTTGTTCATGTCATGTGACCCTCTTTGTTTGATACAAATAGCCCTCATGTTGCCATTGTCTCTCGTCGTGTATTGATCTTGTAACCTGCTGTTGGTGAGTCTAGTCTGTTCATGCCTCGTCTAGTCTGTTCATGCCTCATCAAGTCAAGTCTGTGTCTCTAGTCTTCGTCTGTTTGGATTATTGTTTGGATCACCTGTAAATAAACTGCACTTGGGTTCTTCACTACACTCGCCTTCAGTGGACTGATTTGTTACAGAGAGGGAGTAGGCCATTTCTGAGTTTCTACTCATTTTGCCGGAAATACAACAGGCATATTCATTCATAAAGCTGAACGGCAAATTTGGCACATTCGGAATAACAAATAAAAAACAGAACTGTATAATTAAACTAAAATTATTATAGACTAAGGAGGACGGGAGGTGCTCGTAACGTCTCGGATCGGCCCGTAATTCTTCTCACACGGTACGAGCCGCCACCATGCGAGCATCTGCGATTTTCTCCCGAGAGAAAAAAATCGCCTGCGAGCTCGTACGACAGCAAAAATCGCACCATGTACACCCGCCTTTAGTAATGTTACCTCAGATTGCTCTTTTTTTTTTAGCAGTCATGTTTTACTAGAGAAAGTCTGAGGTCTGATATTAAAGAATAAAATGCTGTCAGGGTTTCTCTTTAACTCTGTATTCTCCAGTGGTATCAAT